CACCCTGCCCGCCTCAGCCCACTCCATCCCAGGCCTGGGTGTTTTCTTCTCTAATGCTAATCTCAGCTGTTTCCCTGCTTCTGGTTAGTGCCTGTCTCCCTTCGCCAGAGTTATGAAGCCCCACGAGAGTAGGGCTCTTTGTTTTATGTACGACCTCTGTGTGCCTCAGTTTCCTCATTTGTAAATTGGCGGTACCAGTGACCTCTGCCCCCTATGGCTGTCCTACGATTGAATGATTGAAGATTAAAGGAGGTGATAATTACCGCGTATTTGCTGTACGCTAGCCCTGGTCTAGGCACTCAATGGATATTAACTTAGTTCTTACAGTGACATTTGGAGGTAGGGACTCTTCCTTTTGAGGAAACTGAGGCACTTGCTAATGAGTAGTGGAGTCAGGATTCAAACTCGGCCCGGTTGGCTCCAGAGACCACATCTAACCCCTGTGCTATCCTGCCTGTCACAGTGAGTGTAGAGCATCAGACGGATGCTGGGCTCCGGAAAAGCGCTTACTCAGTGTTAGTTCTGACCATTCTGTGCCCTGCTGGGGCTGCCACATGGCATAGAGCTTGGCACTGGATCGCTGAGAAGGATGCATGAGACCGAGGCACCTGGAGTCTTCCAGCTCCCCCGGCCCTACCTGCCTCGGTCCGGTTGATGGTAGCCGAGAAGGATGCATGAGACCGAGGCACCTGGAGTCTTTCCAGCTCCCCCGGCCCCGCCTGCCTCGGTCCGGTTGATGGTAGCCTGTTGTTGTGTGACTGGCAGCTGGTGGAGGCATCCAGGTTTTCCCTGATGGCTCAGGCAGGCGGGGTCGGGCCAAGGAAGGTGCTACCACTTAGCATCATCGTTGCTCCTCTGTTTGGCACATGGAATTTCTCGGGTACGAGGCTCTGAAAGAGCGAAGCGTGGTGAGCGGCTCTTACTCTTCTTTATCAAATAAAAACCAGGTAAGCAAAGCATCTGTCAGGAACCAGCTTCTGCAGCTCCAAAGGGGGCCTTGGTGGTTACAGAGCAACTCGGGGTGACAGCAAAGATACAGCGAATACATGTGCAGCTGACCTTTGCAGAACACGGGTTCGAACCGTGCAAGTCCACTTACACATGGATTTTTTTCAATGAATACTATAAATGCATTTTCTTTATGACTTTGTTAACATTTTATTCTACTTTATAGTAAGAATACAGTATATAATACATATCACATACAAAAGTTGTGTTAACTGACTTTATGTTATCGGTAAGGCTTCTAGTCAACAGTAGGCTAGTAGCAGTTAAGTTTTGGGGGATTGGAAGTTGTATTTGTATTTTTGAATGCATGGGCAGGAATCCAGAATATCGAGTTGAGCATGTACGGCTGCTTTAGTTCTAGGTGATATTTACTGGTCTAGGCATTGTAGATAAGAGCCTGGAGGGGCTACAGTCATAAAGAATGGAGCTAGTCTGCAAGGGGGGCACATGAGG